AGAATTTTGATATTTTGAGGCTAAGTAGCTTCAGTTGCTAACTTCGAACAGGCCACTATTTTTCTTCTACAAATGTCAAAATAATAATAAAAAAGATGCACCAATACACAATTGAATCAAAGAATTCGTATCGTGAAATTTTTACACGAGAGAACGCGAATTAATTATCTCAATCACAACTTTCTCTAGCTACCTATTTACGAAACGAGTCTCAAAATATTTAACGACACTTAGTTCGACGCACGTCGTATGAATTTTCCCAAGCGCAAGCGGAAAATTGGGTCAATATTGGATCGTGTTGAATTATTTATCAATTAAATTCTGTCAATCGACGCATCGCCCACAACAATCGAACGAACGTACAAAAGGCGGAGGGCCGAGTACGATGCCCGATTTTCTCAACGAACCGAAGGTCCGTGTTCACCAGCAGCCGCGTGTTTGTCCACGCACGACTCGCTGTCTCTTGCGCAGAGATTTCGGGGTGCGAAGTGGCGAATTGTCGGTTTAATACCGACTGCTCTCGTGCAAACAGAGATGCGTCGACTGACAGCGGTTCTCTGTTTGCGAATTAGGTGCAATCAAACGCAAAATCGCCCCGGCAAATATCCTGCTATTTGCCAATCATAGATGTGCCACAGCTAATTATTGTCATGAGCTGGACGAGCTGTACGCGAATCGGAAAGATCTCGTTGGAAAGTTTTCGAAAGTTATATTTACATGCGAAAATTAAATTGTGTCGGTTAGTGGCGAATTGGTATTTTGATCGATAAGCAAGTAAAAATTTGTTTCGCTTCACTTAAATTATATATATATATATATATATATATATATATATATATATATATATAATTGGTACTAAAAATATTTAAGAAATATTCTGTTTTAATTTCTCTGAGCACTTACTGCATCTCTGATTTTCTAGAATTTATACTCTTTCTATATTCTTTCTAAAGGATAATTAGAGAAGAGAATTCTAACGTTAATCAGGAACTGGAATTCTCTTCTATCAAAAAGGTTTCTTTCGCATTGTTTTGGTATTGATTAACTTCTACTCGTTTCTAAGAGTATCGTGTTTCAGAGAGTTGGTGCCGTCGTGGAAATGGCGCTGTTTTGTGGTCGATGCGCTCGTGTTGGTGAGGCTTTTTGACGCGTTGGTAGAAGCAATGGGGAGGAATCACTCTCTTCCATTCTGAGTCATTTCTAAGACTCAGCTGTGAACAATAGACACAATTTAGCTGTTAACTATCCTTTATGAACGTGCACGTTTCAACTGTTTCAGGGTTTACTACTTGACTTTACAGTAAATCTCTCGTCCCTTTGTACAATTTAAATTAAAAACTGTCCTATTCTCTGAAACTACCCCAAGATGCATCGTTATACTAATTATGATCACTTCGACGAATAGACCGAATTGTCAGAATTTATTTTCTAAGACTGTACTTAGAAAATAGTGGATCGATGAGTATAAAATCAAATGTCAAATTCACCAAATGTCATCCTTCTTGGTAATGATCGTTAATTATTAATCGGTATTTCGCAATTAATGTCAATTATATATTCAGTCTATTCATCGATCAAATTAATCGCAAGATTTATTATCTCCGATGCATTTTTTCGCAAACGGATTTCCGATGTCCAAGCACGAATTTTTAAGAGGCGAGAGAACATATTTCAAGAATCCGTAACTTCGCGGGGGGTGAAAAAAATTAATTCTGAACTGTTCAACGACTGCAACGTTTTACAGTTGAGGGGAACTCGGAAGTTTCGGTTGAAGCAGCTTCATTTTTCGAATAATAAAACGCCTCGCGCTTAAACGAGGCTCCGAAAGAATCGCGCACCTCACGGATCTTTAACACTTTTTATTAATTTCGCGTGATAAAAAATTAGTTTCAAACTTGTCGACGCTTGTTTGAAAGCGTTTGGAAGTTCAGAGAAGGAGGAAAATATTTTGCGGCAAGTATAAAAGAACACTAGAGGGTTTTTTAAATCGCGAGAGAATCTTCTACTGAGAGCGGAGAGACAGAGAGAAGAGAACTGTGCCTTTCATTTCGCGCGAGCGTATCGTACGAATCGGAACCAACGAACGTGATTCAAAGAATTTTCAAATGAATTAAGCAAACGAATTGCGAACCGGCAAGCATTACGGGATATCTCACGTAACGTCCTCTCTCAAGATATTTGAAATTTTCCCGGGGAAGGAACGGGAAATTGGATTTTTTCATACTTTTATTGAGGAGAACAATGTCCGCTGTGCAGAACGACGGAACAATAATGTACTTTTACGGGTAAATGAAATTCGTTTTGTGTCAAGTAGACCCTGGGCAGAGCCGGTGGAAAATGGCGTGTGCGTAATTTCCAACGCGATGAAGGGAAGCACGGAAAGCTCGAAAGGTTTTTACAAACAATCTGCCGCGGTGATTTCAGATGGAAAAAGACACGATTATTGCAACAGGCAATCGTTCTTTAAACCGGGCACGCTTACCGGAATATTTCACGATAAAAGGGAATTCATGTTTTTCCATTAATTACGCGCGTTTAATTCAATTTTTAGCTAAAGACATTGTCGATATGAAATTCTGTATGAAAATCGTCCGTAAGGAAATTCTATAAAGCGGGGGATTAATTTAATTGGAAATTCATCGCGAAGCACTTGTACGTACCTACTCGAATGATAGAACATGAATTTGATTTTCAACTGGAAAAAGTTCTCGAATTGTTGGAACATGAAATCAACGTGAAAAGAGTTCCTTTTTTTTTTACGAAGGAACTGTCAAAGATAGAGATACTGATTTGCAATTAATTTAATTGAATATTCGCGAAGGTACCGTTCCCTTTGATTAAGCATCTACGCTCGCGTGTAAATTACGCCGTGCGCGTGTGTATTCGGCGGCAAAAAAAAAAAAAAAAAAAGAGAGAGAAGTTTCGCAGTGCAAACAGCTTCAGTTTTATTGTGCTTGAAAATTTTCGAAAAAAAAAGAGGTAGACCGTGAAAGAAAAGGTTTGTGTGTTAACCGAGCATGTGGAATAACTGGCTTGCAGGATCCAATATGGCACGCGCGGAATACAAAGGCCACAAAGAAACGCAGACACACCGGTTAGTCATTATGCGATAAAAACATTTCAGTTTTATAAACCTCCCCCTCGTTCCCTTTTTTTTCCTTCTTCATTTTTTTTTTTTTTTACAAACGTTCCCCTTCTATTTGCAGCCTCGAGTAACCTTCATTAGCAAAGATTGCACTCTAAGTCGTTGATTATTCCTTTGAAATATCCTCTCTCCATTGAAGGAAGAACCTTTTTACCTTTCTACTGCGAGAATAAATACACAAACTTCTTTTCGAGAACGGTTACCGTGCCTCTGCTCTCCTCGATTGACAGTGTTCCTCGATTCCATAGAAAATTCCGGCAAAAATTTCAATTGCCTTCCACGATTAACTGGTTCATTCAGCGAATCGGACCACGTTCGAATAATTGGAGTTCGGGATGGGGCCAAATCGTGTACGTGTTTGCCAATACGGGTCATTCGATATCTAAATTTCGTTTCAATACTCATACGGTTTCGAGTGCTACTCGAAAGTAAAAAATGTCTCAGAAGACGTGGAGATTCCAAAAATTTGAATTCTGGCTGGATAAAATAATTCTCGTAAATCTGAACGTTGAGAGACTTGAAAGAAACCACTCTGAGTGGTCCAAAAACTTGAACATTTCGTACGCATGTAAGATATTAACTTAAGAATGAAAAAAAAAAAAAAAAAAAAGAAAAAAGATCAAAGAAGAAGAAAAAGGCAACGAAGAAGAGGAAAAAAAACAGAAGTTGGAAGCGGCTTCCGATTAAATCGAAGTAACACGTTATACTTTGTCGTGTAACGTCTCGTCGGTACGATAACGTTACACGTCTTCCTCGTTCGTTTAGGTCGCGTTCTACTCGATCGAAGTTAGCCCGTATTTGCATCCTCGAACACTCTGTGGGCCGTCCACGAGCTTCGTCCCCGACTCGAGATGATTTAATACAATGCGTTTGGTGAGAATTAGGTGGGTCTCGAAGAACGCTTCTCCCGTGTGTATGCACGTGTGTCGCGTATCTGTAATCATTCGTACAACACGCTCTCGTTCATTCGACATTCGCTCGTCCTCTCTCTCTCTCTCTCTCTCTCTCTCTTTGTGTGCACGCATGTCTGTACATGTATACGTGTGTATGCGCGTGTGTGTGTCGTCTGTATGTACGCGTGTATATGATTCATTTGTCTCTAATGCACGGATCACGGCATCGAACGGCGACGCTTCCACGCGTGTGCACGATTCGCGATCTCCTTTCGCATGTATGTACATAACATATATGTGTCGGTTTGTCAGTCACAGGAGCTCTTGCCGCGAACGCTTTTCCGTTGGAACGAACGGACAGAGAGGGGAAATAAATCGCCGGTCCCGTTCGGTCGTCGTTCGCTGGCAGTTCGTGTGGAGGAACAGCCTTCGCTTGGCAAAAGTTCCTCGTCGAAAGGTTCGACCGATAAGGGGGATTGAAAAGGAGCTCGCAACGAGGAAGGGCGAGGGAGAAAAAGGCGGCGAGCGGGTCTCTCGATGTCTCGGAAGGCGTGCACGCGCGTGTAACGCAAGCCCCGTGGGCCGGTCAGGCCGCGCGTAGATTTCAAAGAACGTTACTTATTATCGTTTACGTTGCTTAAGAAAAATTATTGTGCCGATAATATGTTGGGTCGCTAGCGAAACCCTAAACAGGCAGTGCAGTACAAGTGAGTCCTTAAGCAATCTCCAGGCAAGCTTCGGCCTAATATCACGTTTCGAGTCCATTGCTCATCGATATAATTAACTCTTTAATTTATTTATTTATTTGTTTATTTATTTATTTTTTTCCTTAGTTCCTCGGTGTGTGTGTGTCTGTGTGTGTGTGTGTGTGTGTGTATACGTGTGTGGTAATTCTTCGATTATCTTACTTGCGTGTTCTCTTATCTTTTTTTTTCTTTTTTTCTTTTTTTTCTTTTAAGTTGCATCGTGTTCGCTTTCATTTTTTTTTTTCTTTATTTTCTTTTTTTTTCCTCTCTGCTTTTCTTTAATTATTACTTACAGTGTACGATTAAGGTTACTCTTACGTGTCGTTTTCTTTTTTTGTTTCTCTTTTAAAGGTATACGGAGCACGGTACAGTTTCTTTGGAGCATCATGCCGTCTATCTCTCTCGTTTCATCAGCATTTTCTCCCACGGTAAAATCTGCTTGTGTGTGTGTGTGTGTGTGTGTGTGTGTGTGTGTTATATTCCGTGCCGATCGTTTTCCCCTAATCCGTCGCGTAATCGGGAATGTTTAGTTGCCGCTTCGAAAGGAATGACAGTTCTCCAGCGAGTGTTTGTTCTTGGACCGAACGTCCGTCGCATTTTTCCTCGCGTTCCCGTTCGCCGAGAAACTTCTCTCTTCACTCGATAATATTAGTAACGCTAAAAATTGCGGTCCTCCGAATTGGACGTAGGCGTCGTTGATACACGCGGGATATGACCAATGATCGAATCGTTGGAACTCGAATCGTCGTCTATCGTCTTCCCCGTTGCATGGATTCTCTCGAACATTGTCGATCCTCCTTCTGTGACGTTGCTTCATCTTCGGACGGGCAAGGGGATGGGTGAGGGGTGTGAGTTAGGGGAAGAACTTGTCTCGCACGTTGCATTTCTCCTCGAATCGGCAACGATCGGACTCCGACGATGTGTAATCTCTTAACGCATAGTTCTACTACGTTAGTTGTGTTCGCGTTGGCGAAATTTATGTATCCTGAGCTGACATTTGTAACAGCCTTTTTCTTTTTTTTTCTTTTTTCTTTTTTTTTTTTTTTTTGTAGAGATGGTTACCCAGCTGATAGAATTGACTTGAAGTTGCCTACACTGGAATCGCGTACGATGATCCTCGTTGTGCTTTTTAACAGTTGGTCTCCGATGATAATCACGGCGACGTCCGCTTGGAATCGCGTTTTGCATAGCTTTCGTCACAGCCGGGATTTGCCTGGATTTCGTCCGCTTCTTCGCTCTCCTTCGCCTTTCGGACCCTTCAGACCTCGCTCGGTCGATTTTTCTCTTTCGATCCTCTCTTCCGTATCTCGGCTGGCTCGATTTTGGTCCGCTCGCAAAGCGCTCCGTCTCCCGTGATGCCTCGTTGTCGTCCTTTTTTTTTTTTTTTTGTTTCCGAGGAAAGAGAAGAAGAGAAAGAAAGAGAGAGAGAGAGAGAGAGGCGAAGAAGCAACGAATCGGAGCAGATATCCGATGATCGAACTCTGTGTGTGGAAATCCGAATGACGTAGCTTAGTTACTAGAGTGAACAGTGCCTGGTGTCTCAACAGGCGCTCTCGAGATGCGCGCTCTGTCTTCTCCTCGCTTGCCGCTGTCGAAACTGATGGAACTCGGCCTTCATCGCTTGTACTCTGGCCTCGATGTTGTCCCTGCTGTACCTCGGCGCCTGATGATGAATCGTGTGCACCTGGTGAATGTGCGGCACGTGAATGGTGTGAATCTGGTGCACCGGCGGCCTCTCCTCCCTGGTCGGGGTAGAGGCGGACGTAGGGGTCGGTGTGCACGAGACAGGATCGAACTCGTAGTGACCGTCGACGCTGCCGGCGTCCACAGCGTTCTGGATGTGCGTGTGCTCGACTTTCGCTTGATCCTGAAGCTCCAACCACCGGCCGACCAGAGGCGGCGGGGGCGGCCTGTAAGGCGGTGGCCTCCACTCGGCCACAGTACTACCGCTCCTTGAACTTTGATTCTGTTGCGAGGTGTTCTTGCTGGCGAAACCCGAGCTGCTGGACCTACTCTCCGGCGATGTCTCGAGATCTGGTGACGCGGCCAGCTCCGGTGCGGACCTCGCGTGCCTCGCGTGTCTAGGAGGTAGCCTCGCCCTCGACCTACCGGCCGACTGAGGCGGCGAGGATGTGGCCAACGGTTGAACTGGTACGAACCTCCTAGACTCGGCGTGGATCGCTTTCAACGATGGAAGCTCCTGGCTGTACCGCTGGTGCACGCTACGAAGCTGAAGGTAATCGGGCGGCGTCGGAAAGGAACGTTCCCCGGAGGATGGTTGTCTGACCGAGCTGAGATCGCTGAAGTACAAAGGCGTCCATGGTACCTGCGGCCCGCTCGGCGAACTGGCCAAGAATCTGGGCGATGAGATCGTGCAGATGGTCGGCGCTATCCTGGCCAACGAGTTCACCGTCCCGTGATGATGATGGATGGACGGTAGCCCTCCGATCGAGACACCGCTACCGTCGGACCTGAGGCTCAGTTGGCTGGTGCCGACCAGCGGCCGCCGCCAGGAGGATTTCAGCCGCTGCTTCGGCAGAAATCCACCGTCGTCGCTGCTCGATGCGTCCAGGATGCTGTTGTTCGCTGAGCTGAGCACCGAGTCTGCTACCACGAAGCGGCCGTCGGCCGCGCGTGAGATCTTACCCAGTGGTCGGCCGCGGCAAGAATCCGGCGTATCCGGGTTCAGAATCTCCCGTAGAAGATTTAGACCTGGTACTCGGCTTTTTCTAGGTCTACGGGTAGGGCAGAACGAGCGTTAGAAAATTCGCAATGGTGGTTGTCGAGGCCAGCGACGCGATCAACCCCCGTCGAAAGGAATTCGAAAGAATTGTCGATCGTTTCGTTAAAAAAAAAAAAAAAAAAAAAAACAGCGTAACGGCGCTCGTCTACTTTCAAACAAAATTTCTCCTAGTTCTCTTTTGTGAAACGAGAAGCGCAAGGCGAACGCAACAGCGTTCTCCAACGGACATTGAAACATTTTCAGGACTGATGCAATTTTCCCTTTCGACGGTGTGTTGAACGATCGCCGTACACAGCGATAAACGTGCAACAACGACGTAAAAAACCACGCAACGTTAACACGAACAAAAAGGAAAGAAGGAGCTAGAAAAACAAAACAACGTAAAGGCAGACGTAATACAAGTTAAACGTACAAGATAATTATTGAGAATTAATTACGTATACGTGTAATAACGAATAAATGGATGCAGGCAGGGAAGGCATGCGCATGCGCATTCCGGTGCACGAGTGGTCGGGCGTGATGTGGATCGTGGGTGGGTGGGCGTTGCCAGTGAGTGGATCTTTCGTTCTTTTCTTTTTTTAAATATTTTTTCTTTTTTTTTTCAGATCTCTTTGCCCGATTTTTTTTTTTTTTTGTTTTTTTTTTCTTTTTTTCAGTGATAGCAATCGTGGATTTAGGTGCTCCGAAACTCGTCACCTTTTCTCCTCCTTCGGGTCCGGCAGCAAGGAAAGATGGGGGAGAGAGAATGTTGTAACACAACGATTACATTCACAAAAAACAATATCGTGGCGATAATGATAAGAAATATAACGCTAAATAATCGAACGTTACTTCTAGGCGGTGATGTTAGGGAGCAAATAGATAACGCGTCGTTCTCCTGTCGGGTTCGCGGGTCTCGCGGCTTTCCCTCCACAGCTCGTTCTCCTCTTCGTCGCGCGTTCGCAACGTAACAAGACTCAAAGAAGGTGACAAACAAAACTTGTAAACCACACGCGATGACTAGCCAGCGGATATGACTGCGTTCGCAAAAACAAGTGAACGAAACGAAAGTAGGAACGCTCAGGGTAACACGGATAAATAATTGTCAAGTAAAGAGAACGGACAACAGATCATTGCGCAACGATACAGATATATAAGATGGACCGATGGTAAGGGAGAAGGGAGTTTAAGCATATTTAGACAAGAATGTCCATTGATTGTAAGGAAAAGAGAGAGAGAGAGAGAGAGAGAGAGAGAGAGAAAGAGAGAGAGAGAGAGCAAAGTTTTGTACAATGACGAATAATCGTGTACAAAGGACCAACAATGAATAATACAATGAAAAATCGTGTCTAGATGCAGTTGAGGGTAGAGCCGCAATGAGAGCGGCTTACCTATGTTTCTTTGCTTATGTCCGTGTGTTCGAGTGTGAACGCGTCTTTTTACGGCTCGTCTAATATCGATAGACTGGAAACAGCAAAAGAATACAAGAAGTTTCGGTTAAAATTTCGATCGATGGAAAGCACCCTGATTACTATTGCAGCGGTTCGTTCCATTGCATTTCTCTTGTTCTTTTCTTTTCTTTTTTTTTTTTATTCTTTCTTATCGTCATGCTCGGTGAAGCGTGACATGCTACGTGAGTGAAAAAAGAAAACAGTTGGAGAAGCAAACGGGCGGTCCCTGTGCGAGGACCACCGTTCGCTCGAGTAATTTCGTGTGATCGAGATTGTAACGTGAGAAGAAAAGAAAGAAAAAGGGTGAGAGTAAATGCCGCGAACCGATCCAGACGAATCGAGGGAGTTTGATGTCGTTTGGTCTCGTTCGTCGCACTGAGACCGCGAAATTACCCGGTGTCAGTCGGGATCGGTCCGTGACACTTTAGAAAAAGAAAAAAGGAAAAAAAAAAATGAAGCAAGCTATCGATCGAATCTCTGACAAGAACTGTCTCAGTTCGGTGCATCTACGAATACAGAAATGTTGCGCGAAATCCATCAACTCTCAATATATATATATATACGAGCAAAGAAATCGCAGCGATCTCGATGGTTTCCGTGCTCCGTTTCGTTACGCGTCGTAGGACCGACATTACATACAATTGTCTACATTCAACTGGTTAATCTTGCTGAACCATCGACTCGCTCGCATCTTAATTATCGTCTATCGATTGAGCGAGTGGCGCAACGAGAGACGACAAACGAGAAAGTGAAGTAAGTCGGGTGAACGTGAGTAATCGTGAGTCCAGTGAACAAACTGGGTGACAGAAAGGAGTGAATGAACGTATCAGTGAGAAAGAAGGACAGCGAGAGTATGAGTAAGATATCATTGCGACTGGCAAGTATATATATACTATATAAAGAAAGAAAAAAAAAATGAAAAGTGAACAAACAAGTTGATCTATGATATACGGTGTGATTGCTGCCGAGGCGAGATCGAGAATGAACACATCGACAAATCCAAGTGTCGACGTGTATGGTAGGTAAATGGAGAGAATTTCGATTCGCGCGGAATGACACGAACTAGCCTCGTTTTGCCAACCTCGAGGAATTGCCAAAAAAGAAGCAACGTGTCTCAATTAAATAATACGTTGCATATAAGCGTCTATTGTTAGGTTCGTTTCTCAGCTACTAGAAATCTACCGTCTTGCCTCGTCTTGTATCTATGTACTCCCTAAGTCCGCCGAACGAAGGTATTTAGGGTACTGACTGGATGTTACTAGTGTGACTCCTAGCTGTATTGCCTGTATTGCTGATCTCATCTACAGTCATGACAATCATCCTAAGTAGTAGATGGTAGTAGTGGTAGATTAGTAGGTCCTAGCAGGTAACATTGCACAGCTGTAGTCTCGCATAGTAGATGGTGGTGATGGTAGTAGTAGTAGCAGTAATAGTAGCAGTAGTAGTAGTAGAGTAGCAGTAGTAGTAGTAGTAGTAACAGTAGTAATAGTAGTAGTAGTAGTAGTAGTAGTAGTAGCAGCAATAGTAGTAGTAACAGTAGTAGCAGTAGTGGTAGTAACAGTAGTAGCAGTAGTGGTAGTAACAGTAGTAGCAGTAGTGGTAGTAATAGTAGTAACAGTAGTAGTAGTAAGTAGGTTGTAATAGTAATAGTAGTAGTAGTAGTAGTAGTAGTAGCAGTAATAGTAGTGATAGTACTGGTAACGGACAAATCCCAGCGGCAAGTGGCGTTTGCTCGCTCGATCGATCAACGACGAACCACGACTAATCGATCGAATCGTTTGACCGATCGACGGATCATTTTGTAATTCGATAAGGTGTTTCAGACACACACAAACACATACATGTATACCGTCGGCGAGTTCTTATTTTCGTGGTGGTCTCGGGAGCAACCGTTGTCTCGGGTACGTAGTTGAGTGATGGTAGTAGCAGTAATATAGTAGTAGTAGTAGTAGTAGTAGTAATAGTAGTAGTAGTAGTAGTAGCGGTAGTAGTAGTAGTAGTAGTAGTAGTAGTAGCAGTATTAGTAGTATTAGTAGCAGTGGTAGTACTTGGTTTATTTTCAGTGTGGCTAGCGGAGGTTGGGCTTACTGTTCCGCCTCTCTATGATAAACACGCTCTCGTAATCTCGATTATCGAGGTGGAGTGCGTGATGGTCACGATCACGGTTCGGGGGGGCCTGCTCGTGGACCGGCTCCGAGGTGGCAGTGGCGGGGGTGGTTACTTGCGTAGGAAGTGGTGGTTGATGAAGAGGTTGTGGTGGTGGTGGTGGTAGTAGCGGATTCAACGGGCTGCAACGGGTCAGCGTCGAGACTGACTCGCCGCACGCGTTTAGATTTGTCGACCTATAGAAAACACAGAGAGAGAGAGAGAGGAGGACAAGAGACGCCCACGTTTTCGTTTATAGCTCTTCTTTATATTATCTTTCTTTCTTTTTGCTCTCTTTTCTCTTTTACTGTTTCGCCTTTCTAGCCGCGTTTCCTCGTCATATTTCTCTCGTTCTATCGCGGTTGTCGTCCGTGCGAGAAAAAACGATAGGAGAGAGACAGACAGGGGGAGAAAGAGAGAGCGAGAGAGAGAGAAAGAGAGAGAGAGAGAGAGACAGAGAGAAAGAGGACAAGAAGGTGAACAATTCATTGGAGGTGTCTTTGCGCTTTGCATTAGCGTGGCATTGATCGTCGAAAGATATTCTCAAAGACCGCTCCGAGCTCTTTCTCTCCACAGCCCTCTCGATCTCTGGCGAAACTTCTCTAGCTCGCGTGTTGGCTCTCTTCTGATCCTTGCTCTGATCGCGATCCTCGAACGTGGACCGTCCAAGTTCGATTGGCTCCGTATTCGTATCTCGTACGAATGAGCTTTCTCATTCGATGTCGACAAATTTATCGTCCGTAATCACTTCGATCTTTCTATTAACGCGTACATGCTGTACGACTACGAATCCGGAGCTGAAAAACGATAATCTTGGCAGTGGCTGAACCGTCCAGCCCGTTCTGGATATACGTGTAGGTATAAACGTGCATTATCTGCTCGCTTCGTGAAAACCCCCGGGAGAAGCGCGCGAAAGATACGTTCGTGTTTGCACTCGGGGGAGACTCGGTCGCGCGCGTGTAGATCGAGAAAAGGGGCTTATCACGAGAGCGACTAACAGACGAAAGGACCAAAGATTGGCCCACGAATAGTCAAGCGTCTTACTTTCCCAAACGATAAAATTCCCATCGGTCGACCGAGTTAACGCGGACACGAATTTGCATTCTCGAGAGGACAAGAGCCACTGCGAATACTTTCGCGATGTGTTATCGCGTTAGATCACGTCGACCGTTTGCATTTACGTTAATACCGTGGCCGATTTATTCGCGTGCGGAAGTAATCGAATTGCTTGGAAATTTGTTATGTGTGTACACGAATCTGATATTACTCGCGTATAAATATCGAGCGAGCATTGATTACGTTAATACAAACATTAATATTTCTGTCAAGTAAAGTAAATACTTCGGGGAGTTTATGCGTGCGATCGCACGCGCTGGGTGGGTTTTTCGAAAAGAGAGAGATATCGCTCCCGCGATAAGCCCACGAGAAAATTCGAAATGTACGTGATTGAACGTGTCAGCGATCCGGAACAAAATATTCGTAAAACAAGCCACGAACGAGGAGAAAGACACGGGAAAGTTCGACGGTGAATGAGAATGAAGGAAACGAGGGTGAATGAATTATCCGTGAAAAAGTATTCGTCAGCGGAAGGTGAAGGAACGAAAGATAGAAAAGACGATGGGATAAGGCGGGTGATTTGAGGGGAAAAGAGGAAGAAAAAGAAAAAAGAAGAGAGAGAAAAGAAACGGACGGTCGAACGACAAAACGAAATGGCTCGGCGCGGGAAACAAAGGCGGCATACGATCCAGAATAGGCATCACTGCAGTCGTATTGTGGACTTTTGGATGCCACGATGGAAATCATAATAGTCGGCTGAGTACCCGCTACTACACGTGCAGTCCGCTTGGCATGATTTCAAAGCTTGAACACCTTGTCATCGGTTATCGAGGCCGATTTTCATACGTACGTACGGTTTCGCCGGGAAATGCGATGACGTCGTCGAGCGTCATCTCTCGCACACCGATCGTACGTCACCGTGCGATCGTTTTCTCTCTCGAGAACTATTTTCTCCGGTATCGTTCGTTAAACGAACCGTTCTCTCGGTTTGTCTCGTGGCAACGGAAGCTGCACGCTGACGCGACGGGAATACGAGCGCCGAAGCTCGAGCGAACCGCGTCCGATCCGATCCCGGATCGATTTTCCCCGTTATCGCTACCGTTTTCCTTTACTTACTTTTCGTCGATACGGATTTCGAGATATACGAGAGGGGGGAAAAAGAGATCTGGGCAGGAGGAGAGAAAAAAAAGACAAAAAACTGTTGGACACTCTTTCTCGGATAGCTGGGACCGGACAATTGAGTGAACCGATCGCGACTGAGAAAGAGGTTAGGATTTTCGTTCCCGTGTCCCGCGTTCTTCCATTCTGTTCTAAAATGAAATTACGCGTAACAACTCGACTTATCTCGCTGGAAAACCAAGTGTCGGAATATGTATTTCGATACCAGGGACCAGGTCGAATGCAAAATTGTCGCTCGACTGTTCGCTCGTGCCCGAGGACCGCAGTCCACGCGCAAAGACGGACGCGTCTATACATTATGTAGGTGCGTGGATGGTTTCGCACCGGATCGTCGAAACCGATCGTTCTCCAACCTCGTCCAAAATACCTCTGCTGCTGCGGTTTAGTCTGCCGGGTTTTTTTTTTTTTTTTTCTGTTCATCGCTACGCGATGCGTTCTATGTGCGTGGTTCGCGTTCTCTCATGTATGGCGCAAGATCAAAAGAGGGTTCCTATCGTCGTCTTTATTGTTCCCTTCGTGTATCTTACGGTTGTTTGTCTCGTTCTTTCTTTATTTTTGCAACGACAAGTGGATGCGACTGCTATTCTCGTAAAAGCGAATCGAGACGGCAATGAGGAGAGAATGAGAAGATTCTCTCCCATGTCTCTCTCTCGACTTACATGTTACTCAGAGATATGTTATTATTAGAGAGGACGCTGTCGTTCGTTCAATAACGCTTACTTATTACTTTTCACGCGTTACTTCTCACACGTTCGAAGAATAAAACCGTTCAACACTTTGACTGCCGCGTATATACGGGTTTATATTAGCTGATTGCGAAAGATTTTTAGTGGGTATTTGAAAGGATATCGAAAAGGATATAATAAAACTGACAAATTATTGTACAAATAACATAAACGTATAACTATTAGTATTTTATTTATTATTATTATTAGTAATTTATTTAAAAAATTATTTGGATGGTAATATTTCGAAACATTCTATGCACAATTGCGGTTGATCGAGGCAGCTTGGAGCGCAGAGTCTTTTGTTTTCTTATAGTTGCTCCAGGAGAAATTTTTCTAATTGCATTTTGTTATGCCGGTTGCGTGAAAAAACAAGATTGCGTTGGATGTGCAGGCAAGATTAATAATTCTCTAAATTTTCTTACTGTTACATGATTTATCGCACACTTTCCTACATTGTAATCAAGAACTGCTACAGATTTTAATTTTCCGCGTGATGAATTCGTCGGCTAGTAGAATCTGCATCGATGTTCGTATTTTTATGTACTTGCTATAACGATGGGAGTATGTTTTGTTGATAAAATTCTATCTCTAGAATCTCTCCACTTGAGTACAACGATACCACCCTCATCCTCTTTAGATATCATCCTTTGGGAAATGAACTTTTTATTCTTTCTCACTGTTCCAACTATGCGAGTCTTCTGCTTTAAACGCGAAATAGCGAACAATTCATAGCTGGTAGCGTTTGATCCTGATTGAAAAGCTTATGTGCAAATTGATGGCATACATTGTGCGCCAGTCCTGTTTCTCCGATTCCATTAGTTGATTTTCCACAATAAATTCTCATCGGCCATGTACATCATTCAACGGAGCAATGAATAAATAATTTTATACCGTATTTGTGGGCTTCATTTGGTATGTATTGAATACGAGTCTTCCACGCCATGGAATTAATGTTTCGTCAATAACGATGTTTTCTCCTGATGTGAATATTTCTTGGTGCTTTTCTTGTCATTTGTTGAACAGTGGAGATATTTTTTCAAGACCATCACCTTCAGCAATAGTGGATTTGTCAGCAAAATGAAAATTACTAAGAAGTAATTCGAATCTGTTCCGCGACATAGTGCTGCGCGGTAAATGAAAATTATAGAATCGGTTTCTTCACCAATAATTGGCTATAGGATTTGCTCTTACGAAACCCATCCACGGAATTAATCCCAAAAATTTTTTTTCCCTCCCACATTGGACATTATTTTTCCTCTTGTCAAACAAATTTATTCAACAGTTCACCTATTTCACCAGTTACCTTCAGATTCAGAATATTTTCTACGTCGACATTTTCCGAACTGGATGAGTTTGAAAAGAATCATTTATTGTGTTTATTTCAATCCCTTTCGTTTTTACTACCGCTCACAATCTTGTTCTTTCGTTTCCTTTTTTACTTGAATATTTTGTCTTCATTGCTACTTGCGTCACTCATTATAGCATTATCACTTCGTTTGGCTGACATTATAATAAACTAAGGAAAAAGTAACTCGAAGCAAAACTACACTTGACGAAGCTCGATGTCTGGAACGATATTAACTGTTTCACTATAAAAAGAAAGAAAAGAGACAAAAGAATAAAAAGAAAAGGTTGTTGGAAAGCAATCTGGATTTGTTTCTCCTATCAAAACGAACAAATCAGATTTTACTTGCAGCTTATATATGTTATACGCACGGCAGTCAAAGTGTTAAATTTTAATCCTAACTACTATCATTGGACTTATATATAGACTGCGGATTTTTATGAAAATTCACATTTTCGTGAACGTAATTTGAAACCTGGAACCTATGCAGAGATTCAGGGTTTTACTTAATTAAATATTTTAACAGATGTCGTATTTTGGACATTTCATATGTCCTCGTGTATTACGTGCATTCTATGTGTTTTTGTACATACTAAATTTCCTATAATAGCATAAAAATCTGCAGAATAGTTATATATACAGTACGTCTAATAATATATATTAGATTATACTATGATTCAAGATAATGAATAATAAACTCTATCTCGAATATCACATTCTCCGTGATAGAGATTCGTAAGAAAATTCAATAATTCAAACCTAAATTTCAATGGTCATTATATGGCACAATGACCATTGGAGTTAAGGATTGAACGTTAGCAAGATTATCGAACAAACGGCGCGTTTGTCATTCTAGACATATATATATATATATATATGTTTTCATCCGTGATAAATATAAATGTATATGCGTAATATCGGGTATATATAGCTCGAATATATTTTGTTTGCTATTGATTACTCGTGAGAGGTTTCTTAAATGCTTGCGGTGCTTCGGTCGCCTAATGCTCGTAAGAAGGGGTGGAGTGGACTTAATTGCTAGCTCTGGCTAAACCTAAGTGATCGATGTATATATCTCTTTGGAGGTCGTAGCTGCACCGGTTTCACGGGTCCTCTCTTCGTTCGGACAGGACGTTGCCCATCGTTTCCACCATCATTCGAGCGTTCCGGCTAATCACGGAACGAACGTTGAAACGAATCGTAACCACGATGCAGATACGATCTCGTCGGTCTACGTCCTCGTTTTCGTGATTAATCTTCGATAGATTAATCCCCCGATCGGGGGAATCGAAAAGTTAGATAAAGTCGGAACCTGTGGGGAAGACAGATCTTTCGGAGATAGACACTCACTTTTTCAAAGGCACTGTTCCCTGGGGCCCCTGCCCTGCGCCGTTCCTGGCGTCGGTGACCCGGCAGGCCACCATACTATACGCTGAAAGCAGTTCTACAATGTTACAAGATTATGTTAAATGAGTAAGACGTTCAGGTTCACAGGTGCTCGCCCAGCTCCTGCGTTACCGGGTCGTTCTCGTCTCCTTTGCCAACGAATTAAAGGGAGAAACCTTGCAAATCCCAAGGCGAACGTCGAAGGACAAATTGAAGAGTTGTTTGCGACTGTCGGAGAAAATATCGTAACTGTCGAGCTGATCGAATTTCCCGGCAGGAAGGAAGAAGTTTAAACTACGATATTTAGAACTTTCCATATTGAAATTTCCGAATGCATCAACGTTTTAACTTTTGCAAAAATGTGGCCAAGATTTAGAGAGTTACATCTATATGAAATTCTGTAAGTGCCATGTTTTTCGTTGCAGAGAAATTGCAGAGGAATTGCTTTATTTAACTGCGTGAATATTATAGATGGCAATTCTATTTGTTTCTAGACTGTTTGAAATATATTTGATAATTTTTCTCACCCTGAAGTACGTTATCGAGGCCATCGTCAAACAATTCTTTTCTACCAATGTAGGAACAGTTTTTGAATTTGAACTTGATAATTACTCGATGTTTTAAGAAATTTATCACATAACAAAATATAAACAAAAGTGAAAAAAAAAGTGAATCTCACCGGTCAAGCATTACGAAGATATATGAATATATTGAATATGTATTTATGTTCAAATGCATAAATGTATCAATTTGATGTTCGAACACTTGAAATACTTTCTACAATTACTATTTTCTACAGAAAAATATTTGCCAGTGATGTCATCTTTTAATATTTGATAACTTGGTAATTTCGTGACGGTTCTCTCTGCATACATAGATTTACCAGTGATGTCATCTTCTGGTACTTTACTTACATTGCACACTGCAATGCTTCTATTGGCACGTGGAGCATTCTTCGACGAGAAATACAAAATTTTTTCCGACACGTACGACGATTTTCTACAGGAATTCTTCAACGTTTGAAAAAAAAGGCGACGAGACAACCTCGAGCCCAGGTGCGGGCCAGACTCGGTGGAACAAGTCGAATGATCGACTGACGCGTCTCCCCGTGACGCAGCCCTACCTTTCTCCTGTTTTCGTCTTTTCCGCTTATTGCAAATCTTCACCGCGCATATGCTGAGGATGATCGCGACGATGAAGAAGAGTATACCACCGACGACGCCCGCGGTGATCGCCTTGTGCTTCACCCGGGCCGGCACCGGAAACTTCACCTGCTCGCTGGCGCCGTAGTTGGTCGCCGAGTTGGCGAACACTTGGAAATAATAGGTCCTACCACCAACCAGATTCTTCACTGTACTCGTCGCCGGGTCGTCGTGAAACAGAAAACAATGAAACAGTGAAATCACTTGGTTCGCCGATCGGACGGGCTATTTGTATGGAAAGGACGCTGAATCGTGGAAGAAACATACCCAAATAGCTGGTTTCCTCGGGTCGGATCTGTCCCTTGTTGAGCGTTTTCCACGGTCCGTCCGTTTTGTATTTGATGGTGTAGTATTGAATGAGATGATTACGTTCCACGGGGGCTTCCCAGGATATCAGAAAGCCGTTACTGACCTCCGTCACCGTGAGATTTTTCGGAGGACCTGGCTTTGGTCCTGACGATTCAAATCGAATTAGTTACAGACGGCGGGGGGAAGGCATTTTTTTTTTTTTTTTTTTTACGAAAGACACTTGAAACGAAACACACACTTTGCATGCGTATGTCCCAAGGACTTTCATCGGGCGTTCGTCCGCATTCCAACGCGTAAATTTACGGTTGGTCACATGGGGGAAACAACGACGAAATTGGGATTACGGCCGCTAATAAGGCTAACGAATGAACGCCGGAAGCAATTAGCTCGTAACATTATATATGTAAGTAGTGACGAAAGAAGATGAGCTCACGCGTGTCCGATTCCATCGAGAAGTTACATCAACATCGCGTGCCACGGCGGGACATCATGACCGGATAACGTTACCATTTGTCAAGATTTATTTGCTGTTGCTTCACCGTTTAGAGAGTGGACGAAAAGAAGGAACAAGTGAAAGAACAAATAAATGTAAAACAACCAGGTTAATAAAAAAAAAAAAAAGAAAGAAAAAAAGAAAAGAGAATCACAGTGGCGTACGTAGGATAATAATCGAGCGACGAGAAGCCGTTGTTCCCAGTTGTTGCCGATAAAGTCCACCGTGTGATATTCGCGATTGTTTGCAAACGTTAAACAATACCACGGGCACAATACGATAAATTTTCACGATGGAAAAATAGCCAGCCAGTTGAAGCGGCCGATGTTTCTGCATTCGTTTCTGCGGTATTTACAATGTCCCTATTTGTTAACTTCATTTGCGCGGCCGTTGCACGCTGCGTCAGAACAAATTGTCGACCACGCAGCCGGCAACAGCCAGCGTGCATTAGGAAAACGGGAAACAGGCACGAGCGTACGCGTGCACACACTCACCGCTTGCTTCAACCCCTTCAACCCCGTGCAAGCACAAAGATATAAATGGGTTCTCAATGGAGGCGTCGCGGCGCCCGGGAATATCGTGAATAACTGGAACGCGGTTACCGTGTTCGCGAAAAGCTTTTTACCAATGTAACCGGCCACGAGTGGCTGCAATTAATTCGCGCCGGCTGGATGGAAATTTCTCCCCGCAAAGGCGAACAACTTGGCGTTTTTGTTCCACTCCGTACACGTTTCGATCGTCGCGCCATGCGATCGAGTTCTACTCGAGGCACAACGCTCCGCGCGTCTCTCGATACCGCGTCCCACCGTTTTCCTTCTCTTTTGTTCGTTCGTTTTTCTTTCTTTTTTTTTTTTCGTCGAATACGTTTCTTCGTCGAATAATTCAGAGTTTTAGACAAATGATTCGTTCGACGACGAGCGCGCGAAACAAGGAGGGCAATCGAGCGCAAGATGTAAGAAGAGCGAACCAAGAGATTTGTTTGACTTTGTTCATATAATTCAAACTGAATTTGGTATCGAGCTGACAATAAAGAGATGTGACAATAAATTTCCAAACTGAGCGAAATTATCTTCGTAAAATATTATTTGAATTTTAATTCTTTCACACAAATTAGACACATGTGTCAGTATATATCATTACAATGCAGTACGAAAGAAAATAATGTCATAAAAAATGAAATAATATTTGTGTTTTTTTTATAGTTTACGATCGTCATAATTTTGCAATAAATGTTATCGTCTTTATTAATTGTATTTATTTTTGTGAAATATGACGTAGTAAACTCATATGACGTATACGGTGCGTTAACTAACTGTGAAATTAATTGAAAATTATTTCGTATAACCCATGACCTATATATGATATCTTTTTTTTAATAAAAATCATATTGAAATATGTTTATCTTACTTTCACGCAAGCTTAATTGCTATTAATTTTACCGTAAAGTGGAAAAATGTCGTCAGTTATTGCACACCATTTGGAAAGTCTCGAAAGTGTTGACCATTTGATTGCTCGCCAAAATAACCAATAATTTAAAAAGAAATATATAACAAATTAAAAGTTTACTCATCTTTCGATGCATTTATATTGTAACACGTTATTCTCTTTGAGCATTAACTTTTGAGTAAACTAATTTGAAGCATTTCGGCACGATAAATGCAGGGTTAATGAACACAAACTTCCTTGATCTCTCATATCTCAGAAACTAATTATCCACTCAGCTTAAAAATTTGCTGCGATCGACGTCTCGTTAGAAGCTATCAAAATTGATATCAAATTTCAGTTCCAAACGCGCGGGATCAAAAAAACAGACGAAAGGAAAGAAAGAAAGAAAAAAAAAAAACACCTCGCCTTTTTCGTTTACTCTTTACTCGCTGATCGAAAAGAGTACGCGTTCCGGTCCGAAAACTTTGGTGACTTTAGCCGCGGCACACAGTCAGGCTTCGAAAACGGTCCAACAAAAAAACTGACAAACAGCGAGGAAAAAAAATCGATGGCCGAGCACGAAAAGCCAACTTGGCGACCGACCGCGTGTACCCCGCTAACGAGATTACGCGTTTTCACGACGCTTTCAGTCTTTTATTGACTTTTTTTTTTTTTTTTACGTTGCACGCGCGTTGTCGGCCGACGTTACAACCGACGAAAAAGTTGACGCGAGGCTTGTACACCACCATGAATGACAAAATCGTTGTCGACGCTTTCCCTACTCTCCCATTTTCCCCTCCCTCCCCGCCACTCCCTTTTTTTATTGTTTCCTTTTGACCGCCGCGCGGTATTTCGACGTTTGGGCACAAGGGATGGATAAACCGAGGACAGATTGCCGATAGAGAGCTCAACTGGGAAAATGGCCAATGTAAATTCTTACGTTAACCGCGGCGAAAAGTGTTCACGACTCGATCGAACTAACCAAAGAGAAAACTAAAGAGAAAAAGATACACGCGGAAGAAGGAGGAAGAGTAAATAAAGAGAAGAAAACAAAAATTGATACCTTTCGGGCGCATGATCGGCGGGAACACTGGGTTGCCGGTAGAATCGGTCGGTAATATGAGAGTATTATGGTCTAAGATGTCTGAAACGAGAACAAAAAAAAAAAAGAAAGAAAGAAAAAAACGACAAATGTGAGAAATCAGATGAATCCGGAAGAGGGGGGGGGGAAGGGAGGATTGGTCATGCTGTAATAACCTACGGGTCGCAGAAAGCCGGACCGTAACGGTGGAGATCCTCGCGAATCCGATCCACCGGAATTCTCGTTAAGCTGGCTGTAATCGCGTTACTCGAGGCGGGCTAACGAGTTTCGAGACCGTTGATGCGTAGACAGCGACGGACCGTGGCGGGGGATGGAAAGAGGCAGAAATAGAAGCGCGAGGAGGGAAAAAGATGGCGGACAGAAGGGAAAAGAAGCGAAGGTACGTACCTTGGGCGTACAGCGAGAAAATTCGGCTGCGAAATAAAGAAAGAAAGAAAAAAAAAAAAAAAAAACGACTGTTCGCGGCTCGTTGCTGATTTGCTCGAGTGATTAGCGAGGATTTTTTGACCTCGACACGTTATCAATATGGAAATACCGGGGAAACGGGTCATGTTTCACGATCTCGCGGGATTATGAATCCGCGGAACAGACGTGCGAAACAAAGATTCACGAGACGCATGGCGATTTGTGCGCGCGTTTGTGGCAGAAGCGGAACGAAGGAAATTGGAGATATCGGCGGAGTCGTCCTTCTCTTTGGAGCCGGATAAAAATCAGCAGAGGCTCGTGCAGGAAAAATCAAGGCACCGTGTGTACAAATGGAAGGCAATGACCCGGCAGATTCGAGGGGAAGGAAATAAAAGCGGAAACAGAATGAACGGCTCGATGGGTTTTCCGATACGATAAGTCGCGACGGAAGTCTTCGTTTCCCTCTCCTCTTTGCTTCTCCTCTTTCGCGGTGAGCTTTAACGTAACTTTGAAATTCTCGCGCTATTTCCAGCAACGAGGCTTTACAAAGATCGGTCGCGGCGAGGAGGGAAGAGCGATCTCTTCCGCGCAGGGCATCTTTACGGAATCGTTCAACCGAGATTCTTTGTTAGCTTGTTTCGGGGCTCGTTCGTTTTCAGAGAGACAGAGAAAGAAAGAGAGAGAGAGAGAGAGAGAGATAGAGAGAAAGCCTCGAATCGGATGGTTTTATGGTCGATCGCTTTCAAATACAAGATTGCCCCTTTGATTTCAGTGGCTACTGCTTCCGCGGTAGCGTCAAGCTGTTTCGGCGCCTCTTCTCACGGAAACGACTTATAATCTCGCCAAGGAGTTGCCAATTGCTAGTTGTACGGTTAGCCATATCGATTGGATCGACGATCTTACCGCTTTCATCCGTGGCTGCAGCTTGACCGGCGCTCGAGGATGGGGTCGCTGAATGCGTCAATGCCACATCTTCGAGGGTGAGGGCGATTGAAAAAAAAGAAGAAGGGAAACAGATTGCATAGAATGCGACGTGTTAGTCGTGGTAATACAGGCAAGGACTGTTAGTTCCAGGCGATAGCGATATTCGTTCGAGCATCGAAACCGAGGCGCGAAATAGAGGATCCCGTCTGGCTCCTTTAGTAACGAACGATTATCGCGAGAGATCTATCACCGATATCAAATAATGCGAAATGTTCAAAGTTCGTTACCAAGCGTCCTGATGGTAATAAGTTTGCTCAGCATTCCATCGCCGAGAGCGTTCTTCCCGATCACTTGGAACTCGTACATCGTACCTGGCGTCAGGTTGTTGATCGTCACGGTGGTGCTACCGGACGGAGTTACCGGAATCATCTTCCATTCGGACGTGCCCGATTCCCTGTACCTGCGTTAAACGATTCACCATTTCAAACTCATTCCCGCAACGTATACGTACTCACTTTGATCCACGAAACAACGTACTCCTCTCGTTTACGAGTTTCCTCTCGGAATGGCATTCTAACCGATATTGCCGGCTCAACGAGTGGTTACCTCGCTCGCCCACCCGAGGTTAACATACTTGGGAATGCTATTCCAAAAGGATAGATCGTTTCTACCACAGAAGCTTGAACAGCCGACGTCAAACAGCCGTCCCGCTCGACGCGAGACGAGGCTGTTCGAGCAAACAACCAGCCAGTGTACACAGACTCACCAGATGGTATAATCTTGCTTGTAATCAGGCCCTCCAGAATATCCCGGCAACCAAGTCAACGTGACCGAGAATTCGGTCGCGGTGCCGGATACGTTGTACGGTGCGTGCGGTTGCGTGCCTTCGACGATCAGCTGCGTGGATGCCGATATGGTTGCCACTTCGTTCGATGCGACGCACTGGTAGAAGCCAAAGTCCGAGCGTCGCAGGCTCTCGATCGTTAAATTGCCGCCGACGATCTTTGCCCGGTTGCGTTGGATCGACGCGCCGTCCCTCTACGGAATTGGATCATCGTGTGCAAATGCGAATCGAGCGTCAAAAGACTAACGAGCCGGGGATAAACGCGATACTCGAAACGTTTTATTCGCGGCTTCGTTAGTGACATCGGGCTGATGACTTCTCGCTCGCTATACGATTCGAGAAGCTAAACGAATGACTGGTTGGAAATCGATCGATTCGCAGTGTACATCGTTATTTTTATTATTATTCACGGATGATAATGAAAATGTTTTGACATACGGTACAAAGTAAGCTTGTAAAGATGGATATTCTGATCAAATGAAGAGAGTTGTTGAGAAAATGTTAGACAAGGGAAGAAATTTGAATTAATGCGAAGATGACTGACTACGATATTGATTAGCTTATTATTAGTTATTGTCGAACAATAATATGCTATTTATAGAGCGTACAAAGCCTTTGAATGAAGAAGATCGTGTGACGTCAATATTTAAGTATTGATGATATTTCGGGGGCAATCAACGAGACTGACGAGACTTTTAAAAATAAATAAAATATCAAACATCGTACATCCTGCTTGCTTCAACAGAATAGGTTTGTATGATGTGTTACAAAAATAGATAAGTAGCTAAGCAGACGAATTTATATCGAATGCTTTCTGTTTATATAACATGCTTTTTGTACAATAGAATCTGTTTATATGAACTATTCATTTGTCTGAATTAAATTTTAGTCAATGTACGATTAAATCTCGTTGATGGAATCCAATTTAGTTCTTCTAGTGTTAAGAATCACTCATTAAGAATCACGGTATAGTTATAAACCAGAGAATTGTCATTAGTTAGGATATACCACAGAAATGAATAACAATGCACTTAGGTTAATCGATTATGTATTTAAGTTGATCAAGAATGCAAGGATCTCTCAGTTAGTATTAAAACTACCGATGATTAAAATATAAAACTCGTATTGAAAAAGTGAAAATTCAAGGAATAAGAAAAAGTTTAAAGTATGATAAAGAACACAAGCTTTAACATATACAGAGTGTTTCGCAAATCGTGGACAAGCGACTGGCGGATGACTCCACGTGCAAAAATGAGTTCGAAAAGAAAAACAAAATTTAAGGCTACATTCTCGAGGAAATTAATTTCTCAATTTATCAAGCTAACAATGAGTTAATTCCTAACGAATGATATTCAAATTCTATTTCCTTGAGAATTAAATTTTTTTTAGCGGAAAAATGAATTTTTCAAGCTCAATTTTCTTAGAGAACGAAGTCTGAAACGAAAAATTTTTATTCTTTCGTTTCGATTCATTTCTGCATGGAACCCCTTGTTTACGGTTTACGAGACACCCTGCATATTCGATGAAAAATCATCCGAAACTCTACGAAACTTCCTAATAAAATATTATTAAATTGGTTGTTATCGGTCACTCTGGTAATTCCAGTATTAATCTTTGCTAATCTTTACGTTTCTCATCGAAACGTATGTACGTCAAACGGGTTTTTTCGCTTTTCTCGCGCAAACACGGCTTTACCATACCCTGTGCCACTGTATCGTGGGTTTCTGCGTGCCCTCGGCTTCTTGAGCGTCGCAATGCATCTCCACCGTTTCGCCAACCTTCTTCTGATAGATGGGATCCGGCTCGAGGGTGAATACCGGCGGATTTCGCACGAGCACCTCCATCGGCCCGGAACTTCCCTGCGTGCCCTGCGCGTTGTAAGGCGTGCAGGTGTACCGACCTTGATGATTCTCGTTCACCCGTGTAAAGAGCAGGGAGCCATTGTTCATCACCACGATATCCTTCGTTTGATAAGGCTCGAGCAATCGTTTGTCCTTTGTCCACGTCACGTATTGAAGGGTGGGATTTGCTTTTATGTAACAATGGACCACACCGGCCAGACGAAACGGCAGGTACTGCACCGTCGGAGTGAACGTGACCTTCGCTGGATCTAAAACGGCGAGGATTTAATAAAAATTCATTGGTAAACGTCGTGTCGCACAATGGGGCCAACACAGCGATTCTGACTAATAGAAATGTATCGTGTCTATCAAAAGCTGGAGGCTTTTTTACGCCATTACCTTTATTGGATCGTTATAAAGACTTTAGTCTTCGTGGTGATTTTCTTTAAGATTTTCAATCGTTCGTATTGTATGTAAATTTTTAGAGAAGAACTGTTGTTACACTCTCACTCGCTTGTTCGCGGAGGAGCATCGTTGAATTGTATGTAAATTTTCAGAGAAAAAAAAAAAACTGTTGTTATCATCTCGCTCGCTTGTTCGCGAAGGAACATACTCAGGGTGAATTGAACTTTCAAAATATTATTCTGCGACTTAATTTTTCCACTGTTGCATTTCAAAGATGTTTCAGCCAAATGATCGTGGTGAAATTTTGATGGTGCTATGTTACGTGTATACACGTGTTGGTTTAAATATGATCTAGTTAATGAGAATTTCAATTTTTAAAAGCGTAATCAAGTAAGTATCAAGTAAGTATCCCCTCGGTGAGGACTGTAAGCCATAAAAATCAAGTATCAAGTAAGTATTCCCCTCGGTGAGGACTGTAAGCCATAAAAATCTCGAACCCAGTGTGAGCGTGAATTGATACATCAGCCTTGAATATCTTAAATGGAATATCTGATTTTTACAAAAGAGCCTAAGCCAAAATACAAAACAAAATATTTATTAAATGTAATTCGTATCTTCGCGCGTTATTAAATTTATTAAATATTTTTATTGTGAAAAAGGAGGTATGTACTTTTCTGTACAAAATCCACGAAAAACAAAATAATACGCAATTAACATCATCGTTCACCAGAAATAAAAGTATTAAGTGCCAAGTGATATTTGTACAAGTGACAACGGTTATAGATTGTTGCGTACATGTTACTCTACTTAAAAATTTTTCATCTGGATGGATAGTTTTTACTTAATTTTTATCCGTCCATTTTTCCAATTTATCTCCAAGTTGACCTTACTGTCTATAATATAAGGGTCACTAAAATCGGCAGAGAATACCCTTTTGCAAATAACTATTCGAATAACTATAACGTATACACTGAATGCATAATTGTAGTATAACAATTACATTGTCTTCCAAGTATTTTGAAAACAAATGTTCAACTCTGGCAACATATTTCGTCGTCAACTATATGTTAAAAAAAAGAAACCAAGATCACAAAGCTTCGTCTCTATAGCTGTAACTATAAAGCAATAAAACAGTTTGCAAGAAAGATATAAGATCGGGATTTAAACTTAAGACAGAAAGGACTATCGAGGAAAGGACAGGAAACGGAAGGAAGAGGAAATTGGAATTTTCATTAGCTAGATTGCTGCTTTGGCCCACTGTGCAGTCGTTCGTGAAACATCTCGGAACACGAAAACTCACATTCTACGTTGAGGTAAGCGCTGGCGGTTTGCGGATCACCGATGCCATTCGTCACCTCGCACAGATACTGGCCAGAGTCGTCGGCGCTGACCGGGTTGATCACAAGGCTACCGTCCGGTTTGATGGACACTCTAGTGTCCAACGCCGAGACTTCCGTTACCGGTGCACCCTCGCGGAACCAACGCACGGTCACGTTGCCAGGCAGGGCTTTCGCCTCGCAGGAGAACTGCACCTTCTCGCCTTCCAGCTTGGTCTGGTTCATCGGTGGCACGGTGATCACCGCTCCGCCTGCGAATCGGAAAGACATGAAGAAACGTTAGAGCGTAGAATTCGAAATCGCGACGCGAAGCTGACGCGAGAAGAAAAGGGAAAACAAGGAAACAAAAAAGGGGCAACAGGGAGGGGATGCGACGGTGGGGCGTGAAACTGGGGGACCGATTTCTGGCACGTTGGCAGCTTGTCAATGTCAGTCGTCGCGTCTGGCTGATGCCGGAAATACGCCGGCCAACCAATATCCTGGCCGAAACGACGCGGGCCCGTCGCAGAAGCTTTTAACTTGGCCTGGCGCGGAAGCGTGTCGCGAAACGAGATTTCATCGTTCGGCTGCTCTCGCGTCGATGGCCCGCGCGAAAACCAGTCCGCGAGACGACGTCGATAAGTAAACAAATGGAAAGAGAGATGGATATTCTCCATTTACGGGAGCCCGATGCATACCGGGGGCGGGATTGTTATTTTAGAAACATCCGTCGCCAGAGGAAGAACCACCGTACCGAAAGTGCGCGTGTCGATTCGCTCTGGAATACGCGTTTTCACCAACAAAGTTTCACGAAATTCTCTCTCTCTCTCTATATATATATATATATATATATATCTCGTGTCGAGTCTAGGCATCTCGCTTCTCACTCTCGCAGAGTTTCGAACAGAGTGGAAGGGAAAAAAATATGGGAGAAGAAAAACAGGAAGAAAACGGGGCTGCTGCCAATATGCCTCGCCACTCGAGAAACTGAACTGGCTTCTTCCTACGGGCGACTTTCCGCTCCGGCTCGGTGGCAAAAAGACTTAACAGGATGCATTATATTCTCGTCGATGTCGAAGCGACGTCGGTCTTCCGCGGGAGCGTGTGCTCGCGAAATTTTAAAACTTGCGGCTTTCCGAGAGGGGAGGAACGGGTTCTCGGTCGCACGGTTCGAGAGTATCTCCGCACATAATGGAAAGAAATCGATCCTGCGCGACAAAAGACTTCTTCTCCTCGCGTTCATCGAGGTATTTCCTGGAATCCGATCTATCCTCGCCGAGCGGGAATTAAGCGGAGCCATTCGTGGGAACGGGCCACCTTCTCCAGACTCGATGAAGGAATCGGTTCCCGTTGTTCCCGAAACTTGACCGGAAATGCCAAGTTAACCGACGAAAACGAATCGTTTCCTCGATCTCGAATTCCCGACTGGCTGTCGACGAGTGAAACGGGCCGCGCACGTGGAGAACACCGCCAAATTAACTCGGCGGAGAGACAAAAGCGGTGGGCAAGATCCTGACGAGACGGGACACGGCGGAATCCGAAATCGCGCGTGCCTGGCGCGAAAACGGCAACGACGAAGCGATGAATGTAGAAGCAGCCGCTCGATAAATATTCACAAGCCGGGATTTAAAACTTCTCGTCCGAGCGAGAGGGCAATGAATCCGAGAACAGAGCGGGAACTTCAACTATGATCGATATACGTCGCTGTTTAAGACGGACAAAGGGATCTTTCACGGATCCAGAGATTACAAAAGGCAGATGTTGCGCGGTCGTTTGCGTTCCGTTTTCGGCAATCCTTTCCGAAAGGGGAGGAAAGGGGAGAGTCGGTGGTCCACGGGGCTACGGTTCGTCATTCTTGATAAGGATGAATTTCGGAGCAGGAAGCTCGGTAAATATTCAAAGAGCAGATTCAAAAGTTTCACGCCACCGGGGCGGAGCCCAAGTTCGAGTTGGGCTCGGCGGATCCTCCGCATTAATGGCGCAGTCTGTCGGCACGGTGTTTTATACGGAGGAGGATGAGAGCCTGTCTACTTTGCACCCGCAAACGCTCGGTCTGTTCGTCCGTGACTGTGCACCGACGACTTCCCGGTGAGAGCGGCGATGCTATCGCGGTTTATTAGTCCAAAACTTTCAGCGGACTACCGTTCGTTCCACCGAAACGAATTTTCGCGACGTACGTTACGCACATACGTACGTGCTTGACGCACGAGCGAGGACCGATCCGAAAATGCACGATCCTGGCAAACGATTGCCTCATGCAATATACGAGTAATAGCGGCGCCGACGATCGTGTAAATCCGACGCGTCGGCCGGTGTGTATTAAATCGCGGCCGGTCGTTAAGGCCGGAGGGAAACCACCGAGGAGGGAAATACGTCAGCGCGATGATGAAGACGAATGTTCCCGCGGATCTATAACGAAGCTTACAAATCTGCGGCACCGGTGTTGGGGCTGAGAAAAAGAGACCGACGACCGAGGGAGCGTCGAGACAAATCGCCTTTTAACTCGTCCCACCGCGAAGAACATCCTAATTGGCCTCGGCTGCAACCCACCGTTCGGCTGAAACCGACGCCCCTAACGCGAATTTTATCGCGCGCCGCCGGCATCGGATATATATCGCGATCGACGCATCGGTTTACGATCTGCATGGAAACGTAATAGACGCGCCGGTCTGCCAGATATTTCCGATGCTTCTGCCGGTGGAATGCCCCGCCAGCAGCCGATCGTTATTATTCTCCTCCGTAGTTTCCATCGGAGGTGCCGAGGTGAAGCTAAAAAGATGGAAGATAAGAACGTTCACAAAAAGAAAAGAGAGAGAGAGAGAGAGAGAAAAAAATAGTACAAGGTAATATCTAGAATTCCAATTAATTAAAATATTCGCGCGACGAGGGTGAGGGTGGAAAGTTGAGACCGGTTCCCGGCCGGTCAATTTTACGAGCGTTGCCGAAGACGTTCGGGGGATTAAAAGCAACGTAAAAGTTACACCGTTACTGGAGGACCGTCTCGGAGGTTCCATCTGGGGGAGGAGGGAGGGGGGGGGGGATTCGCTCCGAACGAGACTTTAAGAACTTCCATAAAATCGCTGGCAAAAACGCGGCCGGCATCCGCCGGAACTTGCTCCGAGCCTCTTGCGACCTCTGAGAGACGACTGGAGGGGCGAGTCTCTCGATCGATCGACGAGCCGTCGTCGATCGCGAGCCTGTTCCACGCGAACTCAACAGCAAAAACCGGTACCGGTTGCACCGAGGCATTTTCTGGCGACGCGGTTATCGGAATTTCATTACCGGCGCTCGATCGATTCACCGCCTACCGAAAATACCCCCGATAACTTCTAATAACAAGCCGCCCCGATAATTATCGTACCGATCCGACGTATATTAATTATTGGCACGTGGAAAATTCTCCCTCACCTCTGACACCGAGGTTCGTAAAGTTCACCGAATTCACGAGACAGCTCGCGTTGCCTTTGCCTTTGCAACTGAAGATCGCGTGGCAGTGACTCGAACCGAGCGATCTTTTGCGACTACGTGAAGGTCGGAGTATATCTCTCAAGGGAAGAAGTTCGCGACGCAGGATGATTATTCCTGTAAACCGGCGTCTTTGTGGGTGTACTGTCCACGAAGCGTAAACGCGTATTAGACGCGACGTCGTTTGCTGTACACTTTGCAGCGAGCGATACGAAGCAACGGATGGTTGTCCACGAAACGACAGCGACACGTTTTTGTCGTGATTCTCATTCGTCGTGACGCTCAGCGCACAAAAAAAAAAAAAAAAAAAAAAAAAAAAAAAAAATAAACAAAATCCTCGTCTTTGTTGTCCGACATTTTAACGCTGCTAGAACTGCCAACGACCAAGAAAGGTGTAACATTTGTACGAGAAAAATTAAATTAATTGCAAGGAAGAAATTGATACTGCAATAGGAATTCGTGCATGTTTCACGAAATCTCTAAAATTAGAATGATTTCACAAACTTGTAAAATTTTTACGAGGAAATAAGGAATCGGTCGTTTTGATCATTCTGGTGACTTTACTTGCAATTTTCAATATGCCAGATGCTAGTAAAATTGAAGGGTTTGAACTATAGACAAAGTAAATTACACAAAGTATTGTTTTTGTTATTTTCCATTTCTTTTCTCGCAATGGAAAATAACACACATTTTTAAAAAATCTAAATGGAGCATTCCTACAATCGCTTATCTTTTGCACTACAATAATAATTTAGAACTAATATCTCTTGCTCTCGTAATAAACAGTAATAAATAATAAGATGTATTATGATATATTATAAATTATAATATACAAATTTAAATTAAATAATTAAAGAAACGTTATAATTAAGTTTATAATCAAATATTATAATCACTTATGATGATCAACATTCAGTCGAGGCGAAGTATATTTTATCATACGCTTCGTGAACAGAATGCAGGCACAGACGTATCCACCACGTCTAACTAAGATTATTCTCTGTAAACAGCGGACCTTGTATTAACAAATTCTAAAGCGAATATCGCTTTGCCAGGGTTTGTCGCGACAGCGTCGAACAGATTACACGGCTGCACACTTGCACAAACAACGGACCAACGGAAATCGTGAACCATTCGTGTCCAACGATATCAGGGTGTCTGACGAGGATAGGAACTAACCCCTGACAATTGCTAGGACATCCACTCCTCGAGTTTTGCTAAACACAAGTCGTATCTAGATCTGTTGTTTTACTCACCAGCGATTATAACGCGGGCCGTATGACTGATTTGACCCTCCCCGTTTCGCGCGATGCACGTATAATCCCCGATGTCCTCGTTCTTGATCGTCGAGATCCTGAGCTCGGTGCCGTCGTTGAATATCCCGATGGTGGTCGACGGCTCGACCGGATTCGCGTCCTTGTACCAGAGGATCTCCGGCGTCGGCGTGCCCTCCGCTTGGCAGTTCAATATTATCGCGTCGCCCACGTTCACGTAGATCATCTCCTCCGGCGTGATGCTAAATTTTGGCGGCGCTACGAAAACACGAATCAATCGTTTTTATCCAATCGTTTTGTCGTTAGCAGACGCTCTTGCAGAACACTGCGAGCAAATCGCGAGCAAATCGGAGAATCTCGGACGTGGACTGTGCGCGGGATCGAAAGTAGATAGAGTCAGAGTGTGGTCGGACCAACGCAACGGGCCGACTGATTGCCCTGCGTTTTTTTATCGATCGTCCTCGAGTCGAGAGATGTAAACACCAGTGTGAAATGATTTTTACGAGGGGTCTGCGATCGCTGGGAAGATGCGACGACACTCGTGGCGATGCATTATTCGATGGAAACGGCATTAACAAGTTGATTGCTCACGATCAGTGAAAATCGAGCAAGTTTCTTGCGAGGCCACGAATCCAGGCTTGCTATTATCTCAGCTTACTTCTGAAGCGTCCTGTCTTTATTCTCTTTTTTATGTTTCCGTTTTTTTTTTCAACTCTTTTCTATTCTTCTATTCTTTTCGTCAAGTTTGTGACATGGACGTGCTTCAGCGTTAGCTCGTCAAATTAAAAACTTTGTGGTGTGGACCATGTAAAGAATTTTCAACGAGGCCCCTGAATCTCAGTTGGTTTTGTTTAAAATGTTCTCCGATATAACTATTACAGTATTATATATCTTCATACAAATAAAGTAGTTACGACTTGTTCAAAATAATTTAATAATTTGCTACATTATTACCACATTGCTATTTGACGATGTAATCTGTTTAATCTAAAAGCAATGTACTATTTAGAATTCGTTTCTCTAGTTTTTCTAAATATTATTACGTTTTTCTTCGTTTCAAAATTTAAAAATAAGATTCATTCACGGTAGGTAAACGATGAAAATGAAAATTTTTTTGATTGTCGCTCAGACGACGCGACGATCATCAACGTGTTAAGGGATCGATCAATCAAACCTTCGAGTCGCGAGAATTTAGGGAATCGTTCCCCCAACGCTATTCCAACATTTTTATCTTCAATGAGTTCCCATTCGGGGCAAATCCCTTAAACGACATCGACGACCGCCGCTGTACAAAGGATCGTCCATTTTCACCACTTGAATCGAAGAACGATGAAAGAAGAGAGAGTAGCCGAGTCACCGAGAAAATTCGCCAAGAAGTAAATGATAGGAAAATTCATTGGAACTGGTAGGAGAATCAAGGAGTGCTTTCTTTTCTCTCTCTCTCTCTCTCTCTCTCTCTCTCTCTCTCTCTTATTTTCGATCTTTGCGCTGAAAGCATCGACAACAGAGCGATACGTAGCCATAGAATCGCGCCTACTCGAAGAAGATACATCGCGACAAGCGTCACGGCGGAGGAAAAAACGGAAACGGAAGACACGAACAAGGCCGAGGGCGAGAACGCTGCGAGGAAGAAAGAAGGGGCAACAGTTTACGAGTGTGACGCGAGTAAACGACCGGCTAGAGACGATTTCAAGAGTACAAAGAGATTCTCAGCGCTTTCAAAGAGGTTCTCCTCTCTTTGACGCCGCTGGCAAATCCTTAGTCGTCGCAATCGCCCCGCTGACGTTGCCGTCATCCTCGTCGTCGTCGTCGTCGTCGTCGTCGTCGTCGTCGTCGTCGTCGTTGGTTGGCTGTTGATGACGTGGTCGAGTGTGGCCGTGGGCTCGACACACGTATGTACCGACGAAAAAAAAATCCGTTTGAAAAAATACAACCGTAGAAGTTTGACGAGAGAGAGAGAGAGAGAGAGAGAGAGAGATAAGTACGCATCGTTTACTAAAATATTTTTTTCCCTACGGCCGTCCGTCGACGTTTATGGGCAAACAAAATGCGGCAATAAGTTTTCCTTTTTTCCTAGCTAGTATTTCTCCTGTTTCTTCGTTCCCATCCCTCGCCTCGGTTCGATGACCCGCCGTCGTCGTCGTCGTCGTCGTCGTCGACGAAACACTGACGTAACGCGTAAAACTTTATCGCGTCGCCCGACGAAAGAATTAAATTGAATTCCCAAGAAACGACGTTGCTTTCTCTCCCGTTTTTCCCCTCCTCCAACCTTTCTATTCCCCTGTTTCGTTTCTCTTATCAGCGACGCTTACCGGATTTCCCTTCTCTCTCGTTTCCGTTTTATTCGCGATAGTTTGTCGCTCGAGGATGTAAAAATTCGCGGACCGTCGGGAAACGAGGAAAGGAAAGAGACGTTCGTTCAACCTCTCCGTCTGTCCGGCGAACGCACGCAACTCGTCGCGGTCATAAAACCTTCTTAAGCGCGAGATAATATTAATGAGACTGCTTCGAGGTAGAATCGATGTAGAACTTGGCCAACTCGGACCCGGCTCGAATGAAACTTCCGACTTAAATTGCATTCGCGGAAGCTCGTTCGAGTCGCGAACCTCTATTATCGCAGTTAAGTCTTTTTTAATCGATATTGCGACGACGTCGCGTAATCGCGTTTCCTCTCCTTCTTATTATTTTCCTTTTTCCTCGACCCAGCGACTTTCCTTAAGTGGAAATTCTTGGTCGATGGGCCGCGCGAACGCGAGGCTCTCGGAAATATGTATAAATCAGCGTCGAAGATTCGTCGGGTACTTGGACGTCGGCTGACTGAGAATCAAGCGATTAGGCTCGTCGTTCGCGCGGAATGTTCGAAACAACTGATGCAACGAGCCGCAATGCTGAGTGTCGATGTGAAAGCGCGGCATCAGGTACGTAATAAGTGATGTACAGGGACGATCGGTTAAAGCTCAGGACCACACGAGCGCATTATATACGCGTTTAGATGCGTTGCGCCTCACATTCTCTCCGGTGAAGTAGAAACCTTGCGTTACTGACCACTTTGATACAACGTCTGTCGTATTTTTTGCTGGATATAACGTTTAATATCGGTTTGGTTAACACACACGCACACATCGCGAATTGCAACGCGTGGCATAGAAAAAAAAATTATAATAATAATAATAAAAGGCCCTATCTCACCGGAGAAAATGTACAAAACGCAGTGGTGTGGTTCTCGTTAACCTCTTGCGCTAGTAACTGGTTCACGGACCATAACGAGTGACCAAACCGTACACAATAATTCGTCTTCTTCTTGAATTCATCAAGTATATCGCTGGATAGAAATTTATTACTAAGAAGTAATAAAAATTTATTATTTCTTTTGTCTGAGTTATATTTCAACATACTTGAAACTAGAGAGAATATTGCAATTTTGGCACGTCGTTCCAGCGCAAGAGGTTGAAACGAGAGAGGAAGGAAAGCGATAACATAGCTCGAATGATGATTCTCAAATGAAAGTTACTTACCGTGGACGTCCAGGTGGAACCATGTACCGTTCTTGTGACTGTTAGGCGACCTGTTGAGGAAGACGACCTTGCACTCGTACCATCCTTGATCGCTCTCGCGGATGTCGGTCAGGTTGAGGCTCGCCACGCCGTACGGTGAATTCGGCGAGACCCTCGAGACTCGACCTTCGTAACCTTCGCCACTGTGGGTCGGATACGACTCGTACCATATGTATATCGGTATCTCCTGCCCCTTGCATCAACACCAACACGCAACATAAACGAGGGATCGCCATGAACGCGTACATACTGGTGCGAGACTCGCCTCGGGACACGCTGGACGCTTTGGTTCTCGATTTCGCGAAGCTCGTCGCCCCCTGGACACGTGCTGGGTTTCGACGTTCATCGGTTCATCGATGCTTCCACGTCGACGACGCGTCCCGCGTCAACAAACATCGCGTGCAACATAGTGAACGCAAAGAAATCGAGAATCCGCAAATTCCTGCTTTAGCGACGCGTCGGAAATGTTGGCTAGAAAAATCTTTCGGACCTGCTCGCACCAGCTGCTTGGCTAATGAAATGACAAATGACGAGAAGACAGAGAGGAGATGCAGCGTGTGTGTGAAGAGCGGAAAACGATCTACGGCCGCGATTGGCCGCCGAGCCGCCTAGACGGCGAGTCGCTCTGCCCGGCGCGAACGACTGAACGTAACGAGCACGGCTCCTCTAATTCAACGCGCCGGAAGAGAGATTCTCTTAAATTTTCATGCTCGTTACGTTCCACCCGGCACGAGTGGACGGCACGACAACTGTCATTTTCCATGCAAGTCTCTACGGCAAACAAAGGAATTCGTTGTGCGCCGATGAAAAAGTAATTTCCCAGGCATAGACCCGTGCGTGGACAGAGAGAGAGATAGATAGGTAGATAGATAGATAGAGAGAAAGAGAGAGAGAGAGAGAGAGAGAGAGAGTGCCGCTGGTGGCATGAGACCTTTGCCACCGCGACCCGTGCGATACGTGCCATGCAAAATCCAGACGCTCGTCGATCCTAGATCGCGTGCTATTGGAGAACTCGCTAGTCGGTTCTCGTAATCGTTTTGTTATCGAGGATCGGCCGTCTCGTCCGCTCCGTAGCAAAGTAAAGACTGAGACACAAAGGGGATAGAGAGGATATTGTCCAAGCATGCGACTAAACGGATCAATATCCCGGCGGAGGACCGTCCGATCGGTCTCGATCGCACTTTCCAACACAAGTTGGAAAACGGGAGAAACGATTCATCGGGAGCTTCTCGAAACAGCTGTTTTGTGCGGCCATTCCTGAAAATTGCGGCCCGTGAAAGCCAGATGGTGCCGGACGAATCGCGTGTACCAAAGTGAGAGCCCGTGAAACGCGTGTACTTTGAAATGGCCGCGCGGCATCGTATTAAAACGAGCAGCGACAACGTGCGTATTAACGCGTTAGCTGCTAGTCATTTAACCAGTGCAACGAGGTACGCGCCGTTTCGTACGCTAACGATCGAATTACGCGAGAACGCGTTTGCATTTCCGAGGAAATCCCCGATCAGAGAGTCGGTGCGGCGAGCGATCGCCCGGCGTTGAAAATCGACGACACTCGACGAATCCGTTCGATCGTTCTGGTTTTCGCGTGCTGCTGTTGCTGCTCTCATCTCGGTCGCTCGGTCGGGCCGATATTTATCGGAATTGAGCGACGCGTACGGAGTCGAGAGGCAAGAAATCGGTCGCTGAAACGGGCGGACTACTCGTGTCTGGCACGGAACTGGGCTATTCTACTGGCGAGAGCGCGATTGCCCGGGGGAAAAAGGAAGCAGACGGGAGAAGAAGGCAGAGAAGAGAGGAAACGAAGAAGAAGAAGAAGAAGAAGGGGGAGGAGAAGGTGAAGAAGGAGAAAAAAAAAAGAAAAAAGGAAAAGAGGGAGGAAAAAACGTGCGGTGAACATGAGGTGACGATCGTGCACGTTGGCCATTGACTGCCCCAGTTGACGGTTTCTATTTCGAGCTGGCCTACTTGCGACGGCGAACGGCATCGTCGTCATCGTCGTCGTCGTCGTCGTCGTCGTCGTCGTCGTCGGGCGTCGCAGTCGTCGTGCTTGCAAGCGCAAACCACAGTGATTTCAATATTATTCTCCCTCGAGCCACGGAGCTCGTTCGATATTGCGATTTCGTGGCAAGTTGTCGGGCGCTCTCGCTCCACCTTTTCTACGTACCAGCTCCCGAACAAACAATGAACGAACGCGTTTTCGTGTCCCAAAGCAACGAACGAGGAAAACAATTGGTTCGTTGTTTTTCTTCCCCCCCCCCCTCCCGCTTCTTCTTTCAGTCTTTTTTTATTCCTTTCGTTTCGCCGACAGCGAAACAGATTAAACGTCACGGGGTGTGCCTTCCCGCGTGCACGCGTTACTCGCTCGCCCGGCGCGTTCCTTTTGTCGAAACGGATAGAAGGAACGGATAGAGCAAACGTTGACACAGACTGGATTAGGATTTAACCGAGAAAGGGGAGGAGCGAGAAAATGGAAAAGACGCGAAACTGGAATAAATTACGGATCCAGAGGAGTAGGCCAAGTTACCTACTTTTCCTTCTTCTCTTTCTTTCTTTCTTTCTTTCTTTCTTTTTTCTAGAATTTTCTAGCGACGCTCCGGTTGGTTTCTCCGGTTTTACGAAAGGTCGGGAAAGAAGCGTTCGCGAGGAAAAACACGTTCCCCGGATAGAAGGTACGATTCCGTCAGTAGTTACGAGACGGGGCGGAATAAGTCGCGGCGTTTTGCACGAACGCTCCGCGATTACACCTACGCGCGCCGCTCATGTAGGTCAGGTGTCTTCGCTTTATTTTTCCAGCCCAGGCTCTTTTGTTTCACATACCGTTCCAGACACGTTTTCAACGATCGCGAAGATATCCGCGAGATTAATCCCGGATGCTGCTCGCTATTTTATTACGAATGTATCGAGGCGATTTTCGAAGCGAGTGGTGTCGAAAGTTTAGTATCGCACTTCGCTTGCTCGGTGAATAATCTACCTTGGAAACTCCGTAGACTTTCGAAACAATGTTCCCTCTCGAAAGTCGTCGAAGAAATATATCTGCTTTCAAAGTTGGGCGTTAATTGATTGAATGATTAATGCTCGCTGATCAATGAAATTAATTCGCTGGAAAATCAGCGATTGATTTAATCGACAAATAAAATGAAACGTCAATCATTGACTCAATGAAATTAATCGTCGAAAATGAGAGAATTAATCGTCAATCTTTTATTAAAGGAAATTAATCGTTGAAAAATCGACAACTGATCTAATCGATAAATAGCGTTGATCATCAATTGCCAATTATGTTGGCTATTATGTCGAATTTGATTTGTATTATGTCGTATTTCATTTAAATTGAAAATATATTTTGAGATTATATAATAAAGCGTACAGGCACAGAGTGATTTATATATTTAGCTGCAAGTTTAATTAGCTAATTTTGAAACAATTAAAGTTGGAACGTAATCGTTAATTATAATTAAAAATTATTGGAAAAATTTAATCGTTAATCAATTATTTGCCCAACTTTGATTTTTAATAATTTTTACGACGTTCGAGAAATCATTATATAATAATTTATAACAATGTAACTGAGTTAATTGTTTTCTTAATATACTCGGTGCTTCTGAAATCGTAGGATTGACGAAAGGGAATAATATAGAAAAAAAAAGAAAATAATAATAATATTTCGTTTTTGAGAAAATCGAGTTTGAAGATTGGCAAGTATATACACGCTTGAATTTGAATAATAGAGTGAATAATCGATAAGAGGTTGGTCGCTGCGCAGACAAAATGTAGGAAAAATATGTTTAAAACTTGGTTTCCAAGGAAAGAAAATTTGAACACGTCTGGCTGGAAATTATCTACTGGCATGTACTGGTTTCTACTAGGTAAATTTTCAAATTTCATTTTCTTATCTCATGAAAAATTTTATTCCACATTTTTCACTCGCTTTCGCATGTATAATATATATAGCCTGCGAATTATTCCATTTCGTGCACAAAACTGTATTCTTGTGCATAAAACTATGCAGTAAATAAAATTTGTATTTATTCAATTGCTTTATTATATTTAAAAAGCAATTGACTCAATGAACACGTCAACCACACGCGAACATTTATACGTTTTGCGTGTAGGCATTTAATTTTTATAAAATATTGTATTACAATCACAGTGAAATGGAAACGCGTTTTTTAATTTTATAGTTGTTATTTAGTTGTTCATTTAAAACTTTCTCGTCGATGATATCCATTGATATTTCAATGCTTTATGTGTGGAATTATGTTACTCGGGACATTTTTATGAAATTTTTATACCATTAGATGATTTTTGATATGTTGCAAACATGGGAAAGAGGAAAAATTTTCTAATAATTTAATACTTTGATATTATACCATCAGAATAGAATATCTGCAATAGAATCATGATTTCAACAAAACCAAGACTGAAGTGAATAAAATGACAAGACAGAAGAAACTGAAGACGCGTGTTAATTCAACAAATCTCTCTTTCTAATCTGTTTTTCTATATAAATGTTCATTTTTTGTCATTGACCACCACGAGCAAATTACGGACTTTTACACTTTTATTATAAAAATTTGTTTGAACATGCTCAATGAAATAGAACCTAAAGAGGAACTTGTCTTATCTGCTACATAAATACTTTACTTTGAAATAAAATATAATAAATAAATAAATACTTTACTTTGAATATTTTGTATATTTTTATACATTCTGCGTGATCCTCCGTGATTCTCCCATAAATGTACACAAAGCCATGCAGTCCTATCACGAGGAATTGTTATCATGTTTAAGTGATATAAGCGTTTATATCACGATAAAAATTCGAAAATGTTTAAATGGAGAAAATCCATGTAAATATATGCCATGAAGAAGGCTCAGTCAATGTGTTACACAAAAGTCACCGTATGTGATCCCTTGTTGAAGAATGATTTGTTGTACCTGCTCTCCTGAAAAAAGCATTCGAATTTCCGCGACCAAAAACAAGAGTGGAGAACGAGTCGTGAACCCGCAGTTGCACGCGGTACGTGTTGCGGTAATTTTGATAATTCATTGTCAGACAGACCGCAACCCGCCATTCTAACCAACCACGCTCGCGTCTGTTTCGCGAATTCTGATATTTAAGGGAGTTCTCGTTTCCTCCAGAGATCAGGTTAAACTCCTAGCCAACCGAGCCAGTGAAATGTTAACGAGGCG